TCGGGGGAGGTAATTTTTTAACTTAATCCCGGCGAAAAAGTTTTTCCAAAAAAAAAAACCCGGGGTTTTAATTTTTTGGAGGATGTTTTGAGAGGGTTTATGGGAGAGAAGTTTTTTTAACCCCCCAGGAAATTTTTGGCGGGAACGCTTTGGATCTTCCCATGGGCTTTCAGAAAAGTCCCGGGAAGGTTTATAAAATTATTTTTTTTCCGGAAGAATTTTTGGCCTTTTTTTAGATTCCCCCCAGGAATGGAAAAAGAGCCCTAAAAATCTTTTTCCCATAGGTTGGGAAAAATTACCACCAAATTTTTTTTGGGGGGGGGGGGGGGGGGGTGGATCTAATACAGTAATACTACCTTCTTTAATTAGTTTATAGAGAGAAACGATATCTCCACCAGCTGCAAATGCCCTGCCTCCACCCTTAAATAATATCAAACCACCTTTAAGCTATTTTTCCTTGGGTTAAAAATGTACATAAAACCAAAATCTCGATACAGGTTTTAGCCCTGAAAAAAAAAAAAAGAGATTTGTGGAGAACTGAAAGCTCAATAGTGGGGGGCGAAAAAGAGTACCTTCAAAACTACAAACTCGATATTAGGGTCATCTTCCCAATTTCTGTACAACTTCTGGAGCCTTGCAACCTACATCACATCACAGGTTCACGTTTTTAATGAATTAAGAGACATAACTAGTGAACACATACGGAAAATAAAATTCTTCAAATTAGTGAATTGTACTTGATTTACTTAGCAATTAGCATTTCGAATCATTTCAAGCACAATCTTTCTTAATGGCATAATCAAGCAAAATTTTAGCAAATATGGTAGCCGATTCGAGTTCTGTAGGAAGCATTGTTAAGATTGAAAATAGCATAAAGAATATCAGCAATTTGTCCCAAGCAAAGCAATCCACTGAATCTACACAACCGTGCCTGGCGAATAAATACGGAGGCAAGATAAAAGAACTATACATATCATATCTATACGATTAATACTGAAATGAATAGAAAACAGCCAGTACGGTTAATTTTTCAAACCCGTAAACGTCAACCATGCCTAGAAAGCAATTATATCACACTTAAAAATTTCATAATTGAATAATCTCAACATTGATCGCCAAATAGATACACAATCTTGTCAGCAGCAAAAACCCATGTGTTAAAATTTCACAAATAGCCAATTCAGAACTGGAAAAGTAATCCATATCACGAAACACACTCACACAGACACAGACACAAACACAAACACGTTGTAAACAAACAAGCTACAATGCAGTAGAAACTAACCATAGAGGTGTTGAGAGCATTGAGAGAAGAGGGTCTGTTGAGAATTGCTGTTCTCGAACTAGCTTTCCCCTCAACAATTACCTGAACGTTGATCCAACGGTCGAAAATTTATTCATTGCTAAATAAAGAGAAAGAGGGAAAAACAAAAATGAGGGTGAAAAAAACCAGGAAGTGACGAGTGATCACTTACTAAATTATCGGAATCGTCGATAAGGGGGTTGCCGGAGAGAGAGGCGAGGCGTCTGCCGCCATAACTGTGGTGCTTGTTGAGAGAGAGAATTCGCCGGAGAAGCAACGCCGATTTGTGGGTTCGCATTATTTTTACGGCGAATGCCACTGTTTTCTTTTCTTGTAATAACAAGTGAAAGTATTGATGATTTTTTATTATACCTTGTATTTTAAGTGAAGCCATATTATTTAAATTAAATTAGTTTTTTTTTTTTTTTTTTTCTGATTCAAATTCATTATTTATTTATTTTTAAATTTTGATTGATGATAAGCTTTGAGCTTTATGACATTAGTTTTTACAATAATCAAGTTGTGATATTAATTGGCCGACCTATAAAATTCCATAATACAAAGATATTATTTTATAATATTCGGTCTCAAAAACATCTAAAGAAAATTATAGATTTATTTATCTTTTATATTCGATGTTGAGTATAACTAAATTTTTACATTACTTTCAACTGTATCGTCTTCCAAAACCGATAAAATCATTTTCTTTGTGATTAATGATGATTAATGGTGAATCCTGCCAAAATAATATCGATAGACCTATAAAAGAAAATTTGAAAAAGAAAAAAAAAAGATGAGATATATTAGATTTTGAAATTTTAAATAAAGTGTCTACGATTACTAAAACTGTTTGTGTGATAAATTTCTAAATCAATGTAGTTAAAAACTTCTTAAAAAAAGATTTGACAAAATTAGATGGAAAATATTAGCTTTTGAATTTTTTAAATAAAATTTCCTATATATTTACTAAAAAAACTCGTTACATTTATCGGATTTATTAGGGATAACCCCCTTGTTGAGATTTTCTAATGAGGTAGATCCATTTGATTTTTCCCTTTTTGAGATACACCCAAATATGCCAACTTGGCACAATATATTATTTAATTTCCCTTTAATACCCCTGTTTTATTTTTGAACGGCATTTATTTCCTTAACTACGTGATATGAGATTGCTGATACGTTGCCTAAAATCACGGAATAAATTACGTGAGTATATTGGCGGTTTCGTTATTATCAAATCGTGTACAATCGGCTTTGAAGAATTTCTCCATCGTTTCATCGTTTTCCATCGGCTTTGAAGATTTTTTTCATCGTTTTCCATCAAACTTGGTCTGATTTCTCGTACATATATTGTTAGATGTGAGTATTCTTGTGTGGTTCTGTTTTTGTTGTTTTTTTGATCTCGTAAATTTTTTATGTGTTCTTTCTCGTAGTTTGATGGTTTCGTTCCCATGGATTATTGAATTTGGATGTGTGTTTGTGTTACAGTTTTTGTTCGTAAGATCCTATGTTGTCAGTTCACGTAGTCGAATTAGTAGACTATCATTCATATATTATTGTACTACCATGCGATTAATAGACTATCATGCATATATTACTGGACTACCATACATTTATTAACAGACTATCCAACAGTAAGCAGTAGACATTAACAGACTATTAGATATTTAATGTAATACCATGCATTTAATCGACAATCGTGCATTTATTAACTCAATTAACAGACTATCATGCATATATTGACATACTACTAAACTAATAATAACGCACAAACATTAGGACTTCATCATTCATATATTAATGCACTACCAAGCGATTAATAGACTATCATTCATATATTAATGGGATATCATTCATATTTTAATAGACTATTATTCATTTATTATCCAATAGGTGAGTTGTTGTTTGCCGGCGAAGGATTTCCAACAGCGACGCAGCGAAATAAACCCCTGTCAGTGGATTTTTTTTGGGGGTTATGAACGAATATACTCCATTAGTCGATTAATTAACCAGGCGTTCCTTCTACGGTGGTGTGATGGTCCGGTGAAGTCGGTTGCGCCGTCGTCCCACGGGATGTGATTGCTGGATTTCGGCATCTGGTTTAGAGAGGATTTCTGGATCTCTGTTGCCGTCTGTAGAATGGGGGTAGTGGTTTAATGGGTAGTTGTTTTGACGATATTATAGGGAGTGATTTCTTCTAATTTTTCAAAAGGTAATGTAACGTGATTTGTGGGATTTTATTCAGGGAATTAAAGGTATTATAAAAAATGTGGATTTCTCTCAAATGGAAAATATAAGATTGAATTTATCTCTATTTTTTGAAATTCTTAAGGGTTATATCTAATGGACCCTACATTTATCACCACATTATAGTAAATAATGTTTCAATAAGATAAGCCTACCACATTGACATTTATGAAGAAGCCCAATTAATTTATACAATTTATCACACAATAAAATAATAAATAATAAATAAAAACCCAATTAATTTACAAATTAAGACCCTACCTCTTCTTCTTCGCCACCACACCACCACCACCACCACTAATAACGGCCGCTCCTCTGAGCAGCTTTCCACCGGCGAGCGGAGACACTAGTGGCAATCGAGGCAAATTTTGAGATTTGAGGTAAATATTTGTGTTTAATTTTATTTATATTTTTTTGTTTGAAGCTTCGAATTGTTAAAAGAAGCACCACCGCACACGGCGGCGCACTAGCTGACTTCACGTGATGCGTCACTGTGTGATCATATGTCACAAAATTGATTACTCTGGAACTGTGGATTCACCATTTTTTTTGTCTAGGGTTTAAGAAATATTTAGGTAACCTTAAAATGCCTACCCGAACTTTGGGTATCCGACCCGACCCGCTTGATTGTTCGACTACCCGAACCGCCTATGTGATTTCATAGCTAGCTTCAACTGATAAACCATAATGCAACTCTCCAGAAGTGGAAGACATTATTCAGTAATTGGTTTGCAGATAGTGAGATAATGTTTTTACAGTTAGATATAGATCAGTGCGAAGTGCAAATATATATACATATATGTACATATAAGTTAACTTATTTTACTGAAGGTGTTACGTTTCAGAAACAGGGAAACTCATCGCCCCAGCTGTTTCCATGCTACCTAGCTTATAGTCATTGTTGCTTCTGCGGTTTTCGCTGTAGCATATTTGTTATGTTGCGTACAATGTACATATGTTTAGTTTGTGATGGTGTTTTATATTTCAAATTATATTTTCGTTGTCATTTTATCCTGGTAGATTAAGAATATCTCGTTAACGGCACATTTGAGCGTTTTCCAGTTTTGGAAGCACGAGGCATCTCGCTACTATATTTTTTGTTCTTACTTTGGGGATTTCGCGTTTCTAGGATTTCATTGCCTTGCATTTTTCTTTTCCAAGCCGATATCCTAGAATCTAACTAGGTGTGTGTTTGATGTGCTAATTTTTTTCAAATTTAGTTTCCTGATCAACTTTTTGTTGTGTATGTAACAGTTATTGCATTGTCTCTCAAAGAGTTTTTATCTTAATCGGTACGTAATGGACGAAACAATGAAGCAATTCCAGCAAGGATTGTTGGAGGTTGAAATCGAAGCTGAAAATCTTTTCTTGGCACGCCACGAGGTAATTGGAACTGTTACTGGATGTTAGATTGAATTTGCAGCTATTCAGAATATATTGATATATTTATAATCGTAACTGCAGTTGGTTGAAACTGATAGAGTGAGGAATGGGAACAGGGAAGCTTTAACAGCGTTAAGAAAGCGGGCCAGGACAACAAAAACCAGTGTCCCTTCGGCTTTTGAGTCGATAATGAGGGATATTGATTCAAGGCCTTTGGTTAAAGAGGTCTGTACAACTTGCGGCGATCACGATGCGAGGGAGAAGACATGGTTAATGTTCCCTGGAACTGATGTATTTGCCACCATACCGTTCCATGCTGCTCACACTATTTTGGAGAAAGGTAGTTGAACTAGTATTTTATATTTTGTTACTGTCATCTTATCAAATGATGTAAATGCTGTGATTAGCCTGTTTCAGTTTAAGTTTTATGACTCTACATCAGTATCCGGGCTCCGAATTTGATTAATTTTGCCGATGGAAAGCCCAGGAAAATAGGAAAATGTAACACTTTTAAATTCTGGATTCCATCTAAAAGTGGGATTTTTAGAAATTCTTTTGCATATTTCTATCATTCATCAAATTACATTTTGAATAACTACCATATAAAGTGTGTAGTAAAAGCATTGCAGTAGTCAACATCTCCCAGTCCTTGAATTGAATTCTGCGTATATTTCATTTAAACACTATCCAAAAATAACTCCGAACATTTACCACGTCTACAAGAATATTCCATTTCTGTCTGCTACTTAGTGAATCAGTATAACATAATGCATCTTATGCCTTACCACAGATCATTTGGAGGATGTGTTTTTTGAAGAAAAAATCATCCCTTGTTTCCAGCAACACCTGATTTTTTTTCGTATCTTGCTGTCTTTCTTGTACATTGTTTGCTTATTAAATGTGATATTAAATGTGCAGATCAAGTGCGCCTTGATTTTGATTCGAAGAAACTCCAGAGCTATGTGAAAGAGAAGACTTTTTCGATTTCTGAGAAAGGTGCTCTTGCAGACAAGATCGGTCCTGGTGTGCTTAGGTCTCTGGTCACCTTAACTGATAAACAAAGGTAAGTTTTACGTGCTGGAAAAAACTTTTAGAATGTCAGTCAGATGTTTATTTTATGTAATCACATATATCTGTTCGTTGATTGTTTCAGGCAGGGCTCGTGAGAAAGATTGACCAATTGCAGACAGTTATCAATTATCATAGGATCCGAACTATTAGTATTAGGGAATGTTAATTTGATTCTGATGCATGTGCTCTCTTTCGTTTCCATGGGTTTTCATTAAAGTAATTTGGCATTATATATACTTGCAGATATATGGGAAATGCTGCTGTCAGTATTTGAACTGTTTTTGCTTGTATCTTATCTCGATTCCAACTACTATGTAAATAATGGTTCTTGTTATTATGTCTTGTGTTATATTAGTATTCGGTGCTCAATTTTATTTCTTCGACTATCCACTTATTTGCTATTGAGTATTGACTGCTCTATGGATGTATAACAAGATATTATACTTCATTACGGTGTGTGCGTGTGTGTGTGTGTGTTTTTACTGTCGTTTGTATTATTCGCTTCTGATTAGTTTGATCACATGTTTGATATTATATGGAAAATGAAAAGGAGAGATTGAAACAATATGATTTTATTTGTTTTCTTGCTTCGATTTTTGGCTCGTCTATTCTTTTAAAAAGACAGGTCCCAACCTTTTCCCCGAGGGCTTTATATCCGGTCCCCGGGGTCCCCCCCTCCCCCAACCCAAATCTGGGCCATTCTTAATGTGGAAGATAAGTGTTCTTCATTGTGTGTCTGTGGAAGCATTTTCTTGAACTGATATAAGCCTTTTAATCTTGGAAGAAAATCGTGAATGAATTGTTACTTTCAGTGACGAATATTAAATGCTCGCATGAAGATGACCGAACGTGCAATGGTGACAAATATTAAATGCCCGGAATATGAAAGACAGCGACTATAGAAGCTTCCCTACCAATGATGAAAAAAAGATGCTCTTGAGGTATCTTTCATCAACCGAACACAAAATTGTACTGTTGGTGAGGAGGGGGATTCTAATGTTGCGTTATTACGACAGGACCGTATTTTTGGCTGGATTTTAAGACGAATACATGTTGTGTTTGTGTTGTGGATTTTATTTTATTACTTTCATGTTTACGACTTTATTGGAATCGTTTATTCCCTTTCTGTGAAGTATGAAATACAATTTCCCAATTCTCGTATTTTTCAGGAATTACCTTCCCATTACACACAGACCATAGATTACGACGATGCGCTGAAACTCTTCGAAATAGACAGGTTAGCTGAAAGGTATATTACAGTGTCGATTCGTATTAAAACCAAATATTGTACGAAAAATGAATCGAGAGAGTGATTTCAGGTTCCTTTCACTCGTATTTCTCTCGCATTTTCGTATTATGACTGTGAAGCATAAATCATTGATAACTATTGAAATAATTGCACTTTGAATGGACTAGAAATGTTGTGATGAGTTGTAAGCATCAAATATGGTAAAAACACGGGCCGCAAAGGCAAAAAGCTCCCTGTCGGCAAATATGGTTCTTGTTTGGAGACTTGTGTATGATCGTAATCAAATTGAAAAATAAGCTTGGGGGGCCTGTTTCATTCATAATCTTCCACGAATATATATATATATATATATATGGCAGGAGTTTTTATTTTTTATCGTCACTTCAAATATTTCTGGACCAAACATGGCAGTCATTAAAGTGCGTAGTTTGCGCAGTGCCAACTGCCAAAAACTCATGATCTTTTAAGGTCATTTAATGCTTTTATTTCAAGGTGGGAGTTGGTAATTTCAAAAATAGTAAATTCATTGATTTTATTTCCACGAATAAATTTCAAATTTTTAGCTCAATTTCGAGTTTATCGAAATTATATCAATTTTTTTATCTTTCAATAAAGTGAACCCTTTTTCCGGTCGAGATGTTTACATGTTCGAAGTTGTTAAAAAAATCAACAACACTTGGGAAAATGACTTCTATCTAACTAGAAAAAAATTAAAGTGGCCTGATTAGTTGAACCATCCATATTTATTTATTTTAGTATTTAAGGAGTGCACCGAGTAAATTTACACTTTCTTATAATGCTTAAACCACCGTAATTTTTGATATAATTTAGAGGTTGCAGGAGGTGAATATGACTTCTCAAAAGAATTCCATGTGACAAAGAATTTATATATATATATATATATATATATATATATATATATATATATATATATATATATATATATATATATATATATATATATATATAT